TGGGGCCGGTTTACCGGTATATCGACATATTGGCCGATGGCCTAAAATCTAGACAACGATCTAGGTCGTTTGAAGATAGGGTTGAACACAGTTTACGCGTGTTTTACAAAAAGGCATACATGAGTCGCTTGAGTATAATTGACTGCTTCATGGAGTCGGCCCCTCAGCTCGTACTTCAACTCTATATTGTGGCTAAGGGCGACCCACAGTCGACCAATATATGGACAGGTATCTGCCCCACCCTTATTTTAATCTCGGTACAATTTAGTTTAATATGAATTATTTAAGTGGTTATAACTTATTATACTTTATAAGTATAATAATTTTGTGTAATTAATTTTACTTTGTAATATTATTAGTGGTGTCAGTGTTGGGATCATTAGTAGCCCTGTCTATGGCACTGGTCAATTTTTCTCTACAAGGTGACGTGATTAATAAGCAGGTATAATTAATCTATGCATAATCATTACATAATATTACAATATAATAAAATAATATGTATTTTTGTAATTATTTCAGGAATTTATGGTTAAATTTATCTGTTGCTTTTTCACAATAGCCGCTCGTGTATTTGCTTTATCATTATTTGCCAGCATATTCCCATTTCATCTGGGTGTATTTTTATGCACCCATTGGATTATTATGTTTGCCATGATCATTTGCGTTAAAAATAATAACAATGAGTTAAAAGTGAACAAAATTTCACTTAAAAATTCAGCATGGTTAGCCTACGTGCTTATATTTAGTTTCCACAATCCACGTGGTAAACTATCGGGCAAACGTATTATTTATTACACCATGGTGTTTATCGAGAATTGCATTTTAATGGCCTTTTGGTACACCCATTGTCCGGACAGCCGGTGGTATAAAATAATTGCATTATTTGCATATTTTGTATGCTTTTTTCTCGGCATTTCTATTATGGTAAGCGATTGTTACAAATAGTGTACTGTATATAAATTAAATGCATTTATATTGTAGATTGTTTATTATGGAATTAAACGAGCTTGCTGCAATAAAGTCGTGTCGGAAGCCAACACAACAGATCATGAACTTAATATTGTGGCCAATATTGAAAACGC